TTCTATTCTTTTTTTTTTCCCCCCTCAGGCCTTGATTACTTGTCTCTGTAACTTTGAGATGCCTGTATACCTTACATTTCACTGAGCAGCTAATAATCTGTTCCATCCATTTATTTCTCTGAAGTATGTTGCTTAGCTTTATCTTGAAGATTTAACTCCCTTATTGTTCTTTCCTTCTTTATCTAGCTCAATACCCAATGCTACATTTGAAATCATTTTGCTTATTTGCTCAACAGAACAGGGATAGCACAAATGTCTTTCAATATTCCTTCTTTTTTTTCTTTTTATATCTGCCTTTCTGATTAATAGCCTACTGTACACTTCCCAATGTATTAGTAGCTGAAAGACTGCCTCAAAGCTGTTGTCATACATTTTCTCTGGGACTTAGAAATCCAGTATTTACACCACATTCAACACATGAATAAATATTAGTAACTTGTTCTCATAAACTTATGCTTTATAAAATCAAAGTGAGATTTCAGAAGTACTAATTTCAAAAAATACCACTATCAGCTGTTCTACGTCATTTTCCACCAGCAGCCAAAGTGGCACACTGGCGTATAGATGCCCATTTCAACCACTGCATGTATGTGTAATTGAACAATAGTTTTGTTATCAGTCATTCTCTCTATGTCCGTGATGCTTAATACTTTGGTCAGAATTTCCACCAAAAATTCCCTCATTTCCTGATATGCAATTATCATTTTGCCTCACATAGTTAAATTTGAGCTGTGCAAGTGGATAGCTTGTTAAAACACAGGTGTATATCCTAAAAAATGACCTCTGAAATTGAATTACCAGTGAATGCTGAAATTGAGTTTTCAATGAACAGTGACTAACAAGCTTCAAGCTCTTGATTTAGGGTGCTCACTCTATTGACAAAATATGCTGCAAAGCCTGAAAAGGCTATCAGGAGTATGATGATGGGAACAAAAAGAATCATTAGTTCACCCACACATCATTCCAAGCTGAATAACAGGTTAACATACTTGAAGGAACAGGCAAAACAGGAAAATCTTGTAATGAATTAGGATGAAAGCACTTGAAAGATATTAAAGTTGTCTGCATCAAAACTGAAACAAAGTGATAAGAGGCCTCAGACATCTATTTCAGTTAAGACCAAATTGCATTTATTAGAACAGGATTGGCCAGGATACTTCATCCAATCAATATGGCCATAACTGTGTAAGATGGAAAACACATGAAGCACACTCTTTTTACCTTGTGAATTAAGATAACAGTATAAACTGAACAGAGGAATTCCTGAAGAATCCATTGAAATGCCCCAAATGAGGGAGATGCAGAGATAAGATACTGATATTGATGATTCATGCCTAACCAACACACAGTCCCATGGCTGAGAGTTTGAAATGTAATGTTATTTTGCAGTAATAATGTATAGGTGATACTTGCCATTCCGCAAACAGAGGCCATAAGCAACCAAATCAGAGGTTTATATTTTTCCCCACTTAGTTATGACCTTCCACATTCACTCGGTACACACACAGCTCTAATTTTAAAATCAGTACAAATACAGGTGTCTAACAATCTACTTCTACTCAGCTACAGCCACCTCATATCAGGGAAAAAATATCAAAGGATAATAGAAGCTCTCTCCCCCTTTTAGAAAGGTTTCAGAGTAAGACAGTAAACCACACTGCTGCTTTAGACAATCACAGTACATGCAAAATTACAGTTTTCAAATGAGCAAACATCAAACAAACAAAAAAGATCAGTATCTGTTACCAGGCTAAACCCAAGTTTTCCACTCTCCAAGGTGATTAGAGACTGCTCATTATTAAAATTAATATGCCTTGTGTACTACTTAATTGGCTAGTTTTCCAACTGGTTAAGTTCTACATGAATATAATTACTTCCTAATGAACAAAGCAGGTAACAGCTTCTAGAAGCTTCCAGAGAGAACCCAGTAGAGGCTCTGTACAAAAGAGGCTGGGTTTTTGTTTTACCAAGCCTAATAGCTTTCCTATTTTACCTGTTAGAATACACATTCATTCACTTATTATTCTCTCAGAAAGTAAATTATTTCCTTGTAATATGGTGGGATGTTTCCCTTATCTCTTCATTAGCATCAGTTTACACAAATGGAGTTACAATCTTTCTAAGCACTGGAGTATCCTGCAGGTACAGAGACCACCACTGTGTGCATTCCTCACAGATCAACAGCTCTTTAAGGCAGGTTCCAAGGCTGGAGCTTGAGCATTGCAAAATGAGTTTAAGGTTAGTCACTGAGCTAAAAATGCATTATTCTGCTAGTCTCATTTTAGCTGTACATAGCATCGTGGCCACAGAATGCACTGTTTTTTGAGAACTCACGTTGCAAGATGGGATCAAAGAATGCCACACAGTGCAATGTTGTGACATGTTGCACATAACAGCAACACAGTGAAAAAGAAAAAATTCATAATGTAACAATACTGGGTATCATCTACTTTGGCAACAGTATTAAAAGCGGACATGGAATGGCCCATGGCAAGAAAAATATACTATTGTACCCATTTGAAAAAAGCACCATCCCCAGATGAGTAAGCAAGGAGTCAAAAAAAAGAAAAAAACAAACCAAAAATGAGATTTGGGCAGTAAAGTATAAAGATACCATAAAATTCTGTTTGATTCTCATAAAGATAGTATACTCCCTAATTAGAAAACACGAGGGCTGGTTTAGACTGAGTGTACAGCCAAATTAATAAAATGTTAAGTATTCATGTTCCTATTTTACACAGACATAAATAGGTTTTCATGGTGTCTGTTTGTCCTCTGGAAATGAATCACAAGATGTCGTCACCTAAAGCATTCACTACTGGCTCTGCCTGCATACAAACACACAGCTTATATGTCATCACCTGCAACCTACACAAAGGAGATCCCAAGCATAACTGAGCAGTGGTAAAGTACTAAAAACCACAGTTTTCCTCTGCAATTTTGCCACACATGTAATTCACACAATATTTTCTATATCAGAACGTCATCTCAAGCCCGGCTTCCAGTAGTCAGAATTACAGAATATATGAATGGGTGAGCTAGTCTACAGTTTATCTGTATGGTTTTGCTCCTTTGTCTTCTAATAAGGCCTTTTACAAAGGCCAATACTTCACAAATTGCATGCTGCCCCTTATCTTTCCATCTTCTACTGTAATTTCCCTTTCAACACATTTGTCTACACCTCACTGCAATAATGACTCCTGCAAACTACGTTCTGCACTTGTCGTCTTGTTCCAGCAAACACCTTTCATTGGTGAAGGACACGTTTCCTCTCTACTGTTACCTTTCAGGAACAGTTTCATGGAGAAGACTTTCCAAGACAGTTAAGCCACCCTTTGTCAATCAGAAAACTCCAGTCTTGTAGCACGGACATGCAAATATTTCTGTAGGAGGCATCTTCTGTGGAATAGCAAGCTAAGGTGGTTGGCAGTATTTGGCAATGACAGCCTGGGATGCACATGCTGCTTTGCAGCTTCTGTCCAGGTTAAGAACAACATGCTGTCCCAGACCTGCCCCTGTCCACAAGGAACTGTTTTGTGAATATATATTTATGTAGGCCTGAATTACAATCAGGTCTGCCAGACATATCAACTGAGCTCAGGCACCACCATAATTTAAAACCTAAGAGAAGTTTTAAAAGACAAACACATCTATTGTCTTCATTGCTTGGAATAAAACATTGCTAGATACCTCATCTTGTACCAAGGGAAAGCACTATTGAAACTGACATTTCACGAGCAGGGAAAAGGACCAAGAACAGCATTTTTCAAGCCATTTTTCTCGGTGACACCATCTGACACACTATCTGTTCCAAGATAAAACCAAAATACCAGTGACTGGCAGAGATACTGACAATAGAAAAAAATCAGACTCAGGAGATGACTCAAAACTAACATCTCCACAAGCATTAACATGTTTTTTAGCCCCCTAACTCTGCCTGAGTCAATGCCAATTTTGCATAGTCCTCAGGTATGTCATCACAATCGCTATTATCAGAATTGCTGGGGTGAGGGGGGCAAAGGGGGAATCTTTTTTAAAGCATAACCCTTGAACTGCAATTATCACCTGTGACTGATCACCTGGGAGCGAAGCCTATGGTATAGATCCTATACAATTAAAGCTTTTCCTCAAACATCAGTGACAAATCTAAAGGAACAACTGCAGCACAGGAACTAGGTTCTTAATTGCACAAGAATACTGTGTCTCCTCAGCAGTGCAACTCCCATAATGATTTCAGAGCTCTCCTGTTAGAGCCCTCATACATGAAATGCATCTCCCTACATCTCTCACCTATTATTCTTAGCACATCAAAGGCAAAGTTTGGATAAACAATCTTATCTTTTTCAGATCCCTTCTGTCACCCTCAAGAGCAAACAGATGGCTAAGATGAGTAGGAACTACCCACGTAGAAATTCAAAGGAAAACAAAGAACTCACTTTACAGTCACTGCTGCTCTTTGAGCTGTTCTGTTGGCTTGCCTTATGCTTCTACTGGCAGAGCACAGCACTGGTCTTACCTGAGCTCTGAATGGCAGCTGGAAGCACACTGTTCTTGGTGGTTCATGATAAAGGCACAGGCTATACAGGCCTCTCTGTGACCCTTTATGAATGCAAATATTGCTCCAAGCTTCTACACAAAAACACATCCTGAACCACATGTAGTAGCTTGAACAGCAAGTTAGCTGGTACTGCTTCCTAGTACACAACTGCTTTTCACAATCCTCAAAATGAGCCATTGGCTTCCTTTAATTCAACTGTTTGTTACTCATATTTACACAAACAAACAAACAAAAATACTTTTGTGTACAACGTTCCTCTTCGTGCTTCAAAAACTTTACAAACATTCATATCAACGAATGGCAACACAATCAATGACAAATGCAAAATACTTCAGAGTAAGATTTCATTGAAAGACCAGTACATCTAACAGATTAGCAATGCACAGCACATCCAAGCTAGGAAACATGTTAAAAGAGAAAGAGGAAAAAAGATTTCCATTACCTTAGAAGTCCTTATATCCCAAGATTTAACTTCAGGGCTGAACCCTCCACAAATGAAAATATTTGACTCTGTAGGGTGGAACTTCAGTGTGCTGATCCTGAATTCATTTTTGCTGCTAAGTATCTGCTTTCCTAAAATAAAGTAAGAAATGAAGATTGACATTTCAGAGGGGGAAAAAAAAAAAAAGTATATTATTCATTTCAGCCTAGTTTTAAAAATAGCAATGTTATTAAAAGTGAATATGTTTATATTAACAAATTTCAAGTATCTAGGGCTACTCTTGATTTACTGGAAATACAAGACTTAAGTCACTAACTTCTATCCATGTGAAATTGCTCCTTCTCATGGGTTTCTGCACCACTGACTGCTTCCTACCAAAAGGAGAGAACAAGTGGTTTCCCATACTGAGGAGCTCCACCAAGGTCCCAGTTCAGTTGACATGCAGGACTAAATCTACAAATCTAATGATTAAATGTTCCCCTACAGAGAAGCCATAGTCTTTCTTTCAGTGGGATAAAAATACCTAGAACAAAATATTGTTTTTACAGAAATACCATGCCCCAAACTGTACTACAGCTCTTGAGACGTTTACTTATCTGTGAAGGCAGGAGTGAAACTTCATCTTGAAAGTAGGAAATAATTTGCATACCATTATACGAAGGCAATAGCTGTTCCCATGGATACACTGTTCCCAACATTTAATTGTGTACACTAATCTCTGCAGGATCCTGTGGTTAGTATCAGCTGGAATGTCGACACTTTCAAAGGCAACAGCATTCAGCTAGGTTAATTTATAGGACTTTTCCATAGTTGACTGCTTCCTTTAATCCTAACAAATTCATGACACTAATGCATCTGCTGAAATATATTTTTTGGAAGAACAGTATGGACCACGAAAAGTACATTTACTCGGTTTGCAGTTTCAACTGTGCTTTATTTTCTACATATCACATATAAAGACCTACAGTAAATAAAGTTACTGCTTTAAGCCACAGTGAAAAAGGTACTGCAGAAGTAAAAAAAAAAAAAAACCCACACAACAAAACCTTAAAATACTATGGCAAAAGCTCGACGGGCTTTCTTAACTGAAAATACTTTGAGCTAAAGATGTTAGTGATGGATAAAATTACTATTAGATGAATGTTCATTCATATAGAATTTTTTTATGCTTATTTCTTAAGTTGGAGCCAATTAATTTCATTTCATCATCATTTCCATCTGCTGAACTCAACTTACAGGCATGAGGCTAAGATTTGTCAAATTATTCATTTATTCATTTTAAATAAGAGATTTTACTTCATCACACATGCTCTTCAAGCTAGCTGGGTCAGAGAGAATAGACTGCAGGGAGCACGAGGAAGAGGTGAGTGCTGTTCTATATGAACACTGGTTTTTTGGTTTTGTTTTTGTTCTTTTAAGATAGATTCTCCACTAACTACCCATGCAAGATCTAAAGGGTCTCTCTGTCACTACTGAAAGACTTAATTTAGTCCTTAAGTACCTTCCCCCAAAAGAGAAAAAAGTCATAAGGGCAGCAGAGTTTCTCTCTACAACAAATATGCAACAGTGACCATATCTCACCATAGAATCATAGAACGGTTTGGGTTGGAAAGGACCTTAAGATCATCTAGTTCCACCCCCCCTGCCATGAGCAGGGACACCACACACTAAACTATGTCGCCCAAGGCTCTGTTCAATCTGGCCTAGAATACCGCCAGGGTTGGAGCATTCACAACTTCCTTGGGCAACCTGTTCCAGTGCCTCACCACCCTCACTGTGAAGAACTTCTTCCTTAGATATAACCTAAAGTTCCCCTGTTTAAGTTTAAAGCCATTACCCCTTGTCCTACCACTACAGTCCCTGATGAAGAGTCCCTCCCCAGTATCCTTGTAGGCCCCCTTCAGATATTGGAAGGCTGCTATGAGGTCTCCACGCAGCCTTCTCTTCTCCAGGCTGAACAGCCCCAACTTTCTAAGCCTGTCTTCATATGGGAGGTGCTCCAGTCCTCTTATCATCCTCGTGGCCCTCCTCTGGACTTGCTCCAACAGCTCCATATCCTTTTTAAGTTGAGGACACCAGAACTGGACACAATTCTCCAAGTGAGGTCTCACAAGAGCAGAGTAGAGGGGCAGGATCACCTCCTTTGACCTGCTGGTCACACTTCTTTTGATACAGCCCAGGATACGGTTGGCTTTCTGGGCTGCAAGCGCACATTGCCTGCTCATGTTCAGCTGCTCATCAACTAACACTCCCAAGTAGAGTTTTCAGTACCCCAAAAGCTACAGAACCACAAAAAAAAAAAAAAAAAAAAAAAAGACTCCACAGGGAAAGAAGAAAATATTAAAATCAGTAGTTATAGGAGTAATAAGATATTGCTCTCATGTACACCACTACCAGGCATCATTTGCAGGCTTTAGAAAACCCATATACACATGCATCTTACTCTCATCCTCAGCACTTGAGAAAATATTGGATTTCTCTGTGGAGACGCACTAGTCAGTTTAATAGCTCTTTGCTCCTAAAGGAATTTGGTTCCTAGTAGCATCTAGTTTAATAAACAATCTGGGACTATAGTCAACAAGTATTCAATAGTGCTGCAGCCAGAAATTAGCAAAACTACAGTTTACCTGTACTAATCCTGTCAAGCAGCTTCATAAAGGCTGCATCAAGCAATCACTTGTCATCCACAGAGCGTTAGACAGAGCAGTCATCACTTGTCATCCACAGAGCAGTGATCCAGCAGAACTCATCATCTAACCTTACAACAAACATTGTTTAACTGCATTTACTAAAATAGGTTTTTACCTCCACAATACTTCTGAAAACTGCTTTTTCTATAATACATACATTTTCCTTGCCATTATACTTTCCAGCATAAGATATGAGTGTCAGGTAAGACAAAACCAAAAAAGATGTGCACTAAATTCAAGACGCATTTCACCTAGTAACTCCAAGATCTGTCACCTTTTCCACAGAAAGAAGATTGATTTAACATCATTTGTTATTAATTAGTCCATCTTTCAATCTCTTCCCTAACTACTTCCAATTATTTGCTCAATATTTCCTCCAGAAACTAAAATTCTCTAATTCCCTGCTCCATCTCCCCCTATTTTAAAGAGAAGGTACTGGTTTTGTCCTTGTTTTCTAGAGGTTGTTATTTATCCAAAAGCTCACATTGACAGTACACTATAATGATCTTGGCACTATGAATTCTATATTATAGTCTAATAATAAACAAAATTCATGCAAACAAGAGCATCTTATTCACCTCTATACCCTCTAACCTCCTACTTTTTCCTATTTAAGTTGTTACCTTACTGTTTGATGCAGATATTACCCATGCTAGCTTTTTAACTGGTTTGAGGAGCAATCACAGTACATTAATGTTAAAAGCTCAGGCTCTCCAATTAATACTTTGAAGGAAAACTTTCTTTCTCATTCTCTCACCCCCCCCACAAAGTGAAATTCAGTCGAGCATCTTTTTTTGGAAACTCATTATACAGTGTTTCAAAGAGTTGGTGGTATTAGATGTATATATGAATTTCATTCTACTGCCACGTCACAGAAAATGAGAAAAAGTCTGGAATGTGGAAAAGCAAAGTAATAACAGCAGATAACATACTCAAAAGGGGAGGATCACAACATTACAGAAAGGAAACTCTCCTATTGACAGAACTTAAGTTTATGCATAATGCAAAGAATCTAAGTCAGACTGCTTATCATGCAAACTTGCCTGAACCCAGATAAATGAACTTTCCTAACATTTATATGAATACATCCCTTAAACCTTTCCATTTTACATATTAGGACTGGAGAGCTGAAGTGCTCAGGCACATTCTCTACACAGTTACAAAATCTCTATCACTGTAAATCTTTCAGAACTTCAGAAGTCGTGGAAAAATATCCACCCGAGAGATGAAACAGATCACTGCAGAAGATGATATGGGGCAAAATAGCTCATGCAATCCAGTATTTTAAACCAACAAATTCAACTCTTAGTTCTTTTCTGTGCAAATTTTATTTAGTGTGGTTTACTACTACGAGCAGAATTTGCAGCTTTCCAGGCTGCAACCATGCTGTGATGGATCTAAGCCCCATGGCTTGGAAAATCCAGCTCCAGCGTTTGCCGGAGACCCTGTTTCACCTTCCTGGCAGTCCGTATTTAGAGTTATGTATATTTTTCTCTAAAACTATGCAGTTTATTAACATTAAACATTAAACTTTTGGGGGCCTTATGTTATATCTTGCGAAAGAAGTTCTTTGAGCAGAAGACTCCCTTATCCACAATAGAATACAACACGTATAATTCAGAAAACTTGTTTATACCTTTACTGTGCATATATTTGTTGCATTTTAGTTCATAAAGGCAGCATAACAAAGATTCAACCAGCTTGTAGACTGCAGAAAATTATATCCTCTGAAAATCTATTTGGTTAATTGAGGGAAAATCTATACCCCATATCATTTTCCTGTATAAGAGGTCATTATTCCAAAGCAGAAAGCAAATATTTCTCTCTATCTTTAATGTCACGATTTCAGTAACAAGATCTTTACATCTTTACAGTGCGTTTTATATTCTTAAAGTGCTTTAATTCAATTTTTCATTTCTTAAAGTCTCACCAGTAACATACACAGTATGAAAAAGAAAAAATCTTTTAAAAGATCTTGAACATATGTTTCTGGCAGCCTACTGTGAAACTGCTCAACTATGAAATCAAACATTTTAAAGGCTATTTAACTTTGTGGATTTTTCACAGACTATCAGCACGGTTACTGAGCACAGGATGTTTCTGTAACTGTGTTTAGTGGTTCTCAGGTTCACACCCCTACCTGCATAATCCAAAAACATTCACTTCCTTACACTACTTGATAAGCAAAGTGAAGCCACATTACAAGGACATGTGAGTAAGCTTGCTTAGCAGAATTTCCCTGGCTGTATGCATTAAGAAAAACCTCAAGGAAACAGACAAAAACACATCAACTGGGCTTTTTTCTGAGGTGTCAGAAAACTTTTATGCATATTAAAACAACATACTATCTACATATTACTGGGAGAGAATTGGAGGAATAGAACAAAATCACAGCTCTCCCGTGGCGATGTTTATGTATGAGCACTTGTCCTGGTGAAGAGGAATCTCCTGTGTGAACAAATACAATTATAATAACAATAACGTTATACATATATGACTACCAAATTAGAATATAAAAGAAAATACAGAAAAGCAAACTTGCACCATCCTTTTGGGGGGTACAAAATGTTCCATTAAGAAACTCTCAAAATAATGCAAAAAGTTTGTCTTGTTTTCTTTCAAAAAACCCTGACAGATTTAAGTGACCATACTACATATAATCTGAACTTTCCTTCAAAACCAACAGCCTAATTTCAGTATCCTGGCCATGGTAACGTGAAAACTTTCGAAATAATTGGGAATTTCAATTTCCCATTATAAAACTCTGAGGAAGTTATATTTGAAATCAAGCTCAGTCCATGAAATAAAATATAACTGCAGCACTTGGCAACATAGGAAATGTGCCAAAATGTCTTGGAACATTCCTTCTGTGATAGTATTAAAGAAATGAAAAGTATCTGTAATGTGCAAATGGTACCAATCCAGCCAATGTTCTGCCTACGCTACTGTACCAATTATTTGTGTCTAATAAAAAAATACACTTATGAATAAGACATATATTCCAAAAATAAAATAGTTATAAATAAATTTTAAAATTACAATTACCTTCCTAAAGTTAGTAAAGCATCTCCATTACATCTGGACATAACACAAGTTAAACATCAAATGTACTCAACCTAGAGCTGTTTTAAAAGCAAATTTTTTTTTTCAGTGCTCTGTGAATATAGGACCACCCACAACTCTGTAAATAACAAAGTGTCTGAACTATCACTAGTAGAAACTGGCTGCAAGTGTGGTGTTAGTAGAGATGAACCAGTGAGTCTCACTGCTTCAGACTGCTGCATTACTAACACATTTGTGAAAACTTTCAGAAAGTTTTATTTTTATAAAAACTGCTTTATATAAAATAGAACAATAAGAAAAATATTAACAAGTAATCTTTACAGGCAGCTCAGCTGCAGTTTTTGGATCTACTAATATTTATAAAACTCCCTACTGCAGTATTGAACATGCCTCATGCAAACTGCAGCCAGAGAACCACTCGTGTGAATGACACATGAATAACCTTAAGTTCTTTAAGCACTTCAGGCATAACATGGATCAGATTTATACACTGAATATGTATATCAGTTTAAGAAAACTGAATTTGTGGAGCATCTTAGCTTGATATCCTGAGGTTAGGACTATGGATGACCATTTAAGATAATAAATGATGATCTATAAAAAAAAATTTAGAAAAAGAAAACTTGTACAACAGCATCTCTTTCACCAAATCAAGAGGAGTGAATTCGTCGTACCTCAGTAATTTGAATTCTTCT